GCCCCCCTGGCTCAGCTGTCTCTGCCTCATTCCCGCAGTTCCCAACGGCTCCAGCGAGGACCGCGGGGAGGTGGCAGAGCAGGACAAGGGGACGCTGGCGGAGGACGGGATCGTCAGCCTGTCCATCGAGTTCCACGGCAGCTCCGGGTACCGCTCCGGGGGCTCCGGGGGGCGGGGGAGCTCCCACCCGCTTCTCCCATTCACGGAATTGTTCGGGTCAGAGGGGACCTTAAAGGTTCTCTCATTCCACATTCTGTGTGGGATGGTGATGGCTGAGAGAGGATCCCTGGGTGCTGGAGGGGACAGAGGAGCGCCTGAAACCCTGGTCCACATCCCGAATTCCGGCAATGGCTCCCCACACCTCAGCTCCCCAGGCAGGCAGGGAAGCTCCTTCCCTGTTCCCCGCAAGCTGAGCTGGTCCCTGCTGCTGCCGGTGGCCTCCAGGAATGTCCCTGGCACCTGGAGTGGCATTCCAGAGGGATCCAGTGGCTGCAGTGCTCTGGAAATGCCCAAGGACCTGCCGGGGGTAATGCCACCGCTCAGCTGAGGGTCCCTGGATGTGTCCCCATGCAGGCTCTCCAGGGACAGCCCTTCCGGGGTTTTTTTTTCCCTCTCCTCCTTTTCACTCCCCTGTAATCCATGTCCTGTGCTCCCTCCTGCCCCCAGAGAGGACAAGAAAGGCGCCGTGGAGAACGGGGAYCTGGACAGGGACAAGGTGGGTGTGGGGGTGGCACCCAGAGCCCTCTGTGCCCAGCTGCCCCGGGGGGGTGTGGAGGGGGCAAGGAGATACCCCAAATCCACTCGGGGAGGGGGAGCTGTGTCGCGGGGGTCCAGGGGGACAAGGGCACCCCCCAAACCCCGCTTGAGGAGTGGGAAGATGCCTCGTGGGGGGCCCCACACCCCGCACGGGGAGGGCAGAGCTGAGTCGGGGGGTCCCGGGGCTCTGGGGGGGACAGGGGGTCCCGAAGCCCAGCCCAGTTTCCCGTGTGYTTCCCGCAGAGCCCCGGGCTGCGGTTCCTGCGCTGCCCCGCGGCCATGACCGTGATGCACCTGGCCAAGTTCCTGCGCAACAAGATGGATGTGCCCAGCAAGTACAAGGTGAGGGAACAGCGGGGATGGCAGGGATGGCGGGAGTGKTTGGGAATGTTCGGGAACAGCTGGGAATGCTCGGGAATGCTCGGGGAACCCCCGGGGGTGCCGGCTGCAGTTGCTGCCCGGATCTGGCCGTGCTCATCAGCACCGTTTGGGTCATCTCATGTGGCATCCGTGGCCATGCTCTGCTTGTCCCAAATGTCCCTGCTCTGCTGTCCTTCCCCTGGGGCTGGATCTTGCCTTTTCCCGTGGAAGTATCCATCCTTTCCCGGTGCAGGATCCATCCTTTCCCTGGAGGGAATCCTTTCTGGCCACTTCATGTCACTGGGAGTCGCCAGCTCCTGATGCCCCACTGGTCCTGGGGATGCTGGCAGTGTCTCTGTCCCTTCCCTGGGGACCTGACCCTCTCCCCTGTCCCTGTCCCAGGTGGAGGTGCTGTACGAGGATGAGCCCCTGAAGGAATATTACACCCTGATGGACATCGCCTACATCTACCCCTGGAGGAGGGTGAGGGAAAACAGGGAAAATCTGTCCTGGGGAAAACTGGGAAAATCTGTCC